GCGTCCCCTGCGGCCCCTCAGGCTTCCGTAGGAGCCCCGACCCCGCGCTGCGCGGGGGAGGGGCCTGGCGGGGGCGGAGGGAGGCGCCGGCGAGAGGAAATCGGCGGCGCGACGCCAGCGGCCCATTGGCTGCCTCGTCTTGGAGCTAGAAGCCCCGCCTCCTTGGCGGGGTCACGTGATCCCTTTCAAAGATGGCCGCCCTGTTGTTTTGATGAATAATACTTGGTGGGGCGAGGGGGTAAGAGTAGGGGTGGAGGGGTAGGAGGATTTACTGTTCCAGCCTGAGCATCGCGGGTCCCGTCCTCCCCCTCCCCCCTGCCCGGGCTCCAGCGTGGAGGCGGGGCGTGACCGGCTTGATTTGGGAGGGGAGGGGCTTCCCTCATCAGTGCTGGGCTCTGCCTGGGTGGCTCTGGGGTCGCCTTACCTCGGGGCATCCACTCTGCAGTCGAACAGTTCCCGCCAGGGGCCAAGGGTAGGAAGGAGAGCAGGATCTGCTGGAGAAAGCACAGCTGCCGCGCCACCGCCACGAAGACACTGCAGGCTCGGGGCACGAGACGAGCTGGAGACCGAGCTCGCCTGTCTGGGTAACCTGGGAAGCAGAGGGTACTAAGTGGCGCCTTAAGAGATCACTGTAGCAGCAGCGGTGGCCGCCAAAGGAGGTTGCTCAGGGCACAAGCAGCTGTAGAAGTCTCTGGGCGATTGGAGTGACCGAAGCCAAGGCAGTTCAGTGCCTCTCGTGTTCTTATTTTTTAACCTCTGACTATGCAATTCTGAAACCTCCCCCATTTGGGGGGACCAGACAGCCCGATAGACACCTTCCACTCTCCTCCCGCTCTGGTCTCAAGAACAGAAGGATCTCTCTCTAAAGCCTTTCACCATTAAGAGGAAAGCGATGGAGGAGCTGAGCGCTGATGAGGTGAGCAGGTTGGGGAACACCTTGGGAGATTAGTTGGCAACTCTTTGGCGCTTTGGACGTGGGTGATATTGCGCCAGTGACTCCTGGCCTTTGGGCTCCGGGAAGAAATGGAGATGACATTTTCCAAGAATAAAATGAGTCTCTGAGAGGGTCTCCGGTTGTATTCTCCTGTCTTCCCTTGCCTTTTTCTTCGTTCTGAACTCCATTTGCTGCTTTTCGAGTTTCTTTTAGGATCTGGAGAAGAGGAGAACACCTTGAGGCATTTATTCTTCGGGGTGTTTAAGCAAGAAGGGCTAGATTTACATCAAGTTAAAAATGTGTGTGTTTTCGCGTGCACGCGCGCGCGCGCTTGTACTGCAGCGATTTAAAGAATAATTTTGGATGGAGTCAGAATATATGGTGGGTGTATGCTTTTAAAGCCAGCATTTGGGATCCCAAGTATGTGTGACTATTCATGGTATAAGTTGATTAAACATCCGTTTGTGTTTGGGGGTGGCCTGTGGACAGATTCATTGATAATGGATGCTCCCAATAGATGAATGAATTACATACAGTAAAGTCTAGTAATTTGTCAGATCACTGTGACTTCTGGCTACTGCTTTCTCGTGCTGCCTTCCTGTTTTCTGTCCCTTTCAAAACTTGTGTTTTGCTGTAGCAGACCTACTCAACTGGAAGCAAGTGACTTTGTAAGCCCCTCCCTCTTCTCTTTTCTGAAAGGAATCATACACATCTTGATGTTTTAAAGACTATTACTAAGATTGCCATAAAAACAGTGGTGATTAGGGTATACGGAATTTCCTGTGTTTCCATGGACTTATTTATCCCTTCCTTTTAACAAATTGGGGACTTCCTTTTCTGGACTCCTGATGGCCTCACTCTCTTCCACCTCCATCCTCATTTCTCCCACTGGTTCATAAAAAAATACTTCCCCAGATAATATTATTATCAAAGTAGTCATGGTTGTACATATGAAACATTGTGCTTCAGTTTTAGCCACAGAATAGTTAGTATGTTTACTTGGGACTAAAATTCTGCAGGGATGCAGCATGCCACTTGTGGATTAAGTAAGGGCCAAGTAAGAAAAGGGACAAGTCACAAATTGTGATATTCAGTTGTTTGGAGAGTCAGGGTTGCCCGTTCTTGGGACTTACTTCTTCCCCCTGTACATCAGGATTGTAACCTTAAATTAGGACTTTGAACTGTCTTTTCTGCAGGTCGGAATTACCCAGAAACCCTCTGAGAGGCACACAGTTTTTAAGTGTAGCTGTCCCCTTTTTTCTTTAATATTAATTCTATTAGATGCTTTCTCCAAAGGCAAAGAGTTTATGTTTTTAGGAATCTTTAGCTCCCAGGAATTACTTTTTTTCTTAACAGTCTCTCAGTTGTTCCTGGTTTTATACTCTGGCGCCTTTTCAGCTTGTACAAATCTTTTGCCTTCTTAAAAACAGTTCCTGGTTTAGAGGTTTTGAGTTTTCACCAAGGAATTGTTTTCAAACCAGTGATGTACACAACCTAGTTACAGAGACTCTGTAGTCTGAACTGTGGCTTTTCACTTTACCCAGTTCTTGAGGAAAGTGTGACTTTTTGGTGACCAGATAAAGGACAAAGGTATTGGACATGATAGGAGAACATTTTTGTGATAACCAGAGTATTAAAATCAATGTAAAAATTTAAGTTCACAGATCAGTATAAAATGATGTTCAAATTGAGTTTCATGGACACAAAGGGACAGATTAGTGACTTCCAACTTTACTCTCCGTAGTTCCTAAAATAAATGTTTTTTTTGGGGGGGGGCATGGAGGGAGAGGGGAGAAATCTCCTTAAATCCATTTTCTTTAACTTTAGAATGAGTTGAACAATTCTGAACAGAGATGGTTCTGCCTTTTTATTGTTTCTAATTGTTGGGAACTTGTGCCACAAAGTTGTTAGTGACTTTTGTTAGTAAATAATCCATTTATATTAGCGAGCTTTCCAACATCTGTTTCAGGGTGAAACAGGCAAGATTGTGTTCTTTCCAGGTAAATTCATTTTCATATTTTAGTAAAATGAAATGTGTGCAAAGAAGAGATAGGTATAAGCACACTTGTAGCTTTAGAAGATTTTACATTCTGGGCCCCGCTGGTCTCCCTGACTGGTCACCTTGAGTCCTTACGCTTTCCATCTTGGAGTATTCAGGTGGGGTGTTTCTCTGTCCTCACTGCTGCTACTGTGTCTCCGGCTCCTCGCGCTGGTTCAGTGCTCCGGGGAGCAGATCCCTGACTGAGGTCATTCTCTCAGGCCCTGCATTCCAGAGCGTCTCTGTTTACCATCCTTCCCGTGTGTTGCTCATAGGTTGTTTTCCGTGGATCAGCCCGGCCTCAAGTAGGACAGGTATTAAACTGCTTTGCAATTGTGGGATGTGACCACATTGAAATTATTTGCTTTTTGTCCTTCTGTAAATCTTCTTTATGACCTAGTTCATCTTCAAGATGGCTGGCTGAGATTCAGGGTGTGGTCAAGGTTTTAGAAGAGTGGTAGGTCTTCCCAAACATAGAAACGTGACCTTGGACTTTTTCGCAGTATTCTGTACGCGGACAGGCACCAGCGTTTATTAGCAGCCTCAGGAGCCTGCTCTGTGCCAGTCACTTGAAAACCATTGTCTCAGTTGATTTAACAGAGTAGTCGAGGAGCTTCTTATTTTCCAGGTGAGGCCATTGAGGTTTAGGTTAAGCTGCTTGTTCATAGTGATGTGTCTTTTAGAAGCGGCGGAGCTGGAATTCAAACCCAGGGTTCCTGATCTAAAAGCTCTTTTACTGCACTTCTCTGCTTAACGGCGGGCACTGAGTTCACTGTGGCACCTGTGTATATACCCTGCTAACCTGTCTGAGCTGCAGCAGTCTTCTGGAAGTGTCGCTTTTCATAAACATGCTCATGACATGATCGGGTGTGGAGCCTGACTCTGTCACACCCCTGAAGTGGTTCACTCCAGAGACCTGCTTTTTGAAGATGCTGTATTGGCCCAGCTGATGTGTTAGGGAGCAAAACAGTCCTTTTCCTTGCAGACATTACCATTTAACAGGGGCGGGGGGACACAGAAGTGCAGCAGTTATAACACTGGATGCTAAGTACCAGTGTGGAGGTGTCAGCAGACATAAGAAAAACAAGCCGGATCCCTGGCGAGGCAGCGTCTTCGTGAAGACTTTCAAGGAAAAGTGATGCTTCCACTGAGCAGCACTGCTGAGGAAGGGCTGCCGGAGCTGGCTGCGAGGCAGGAGCTTGGGAACAGCAAGCAGTGAGGCTGGCTGGAGCGAGGGCAGGAGTGAGGGCAGGCCGGCAGGCACCTGCTTTTGGTGCACGCTCAGAGATGCTTAGGCTGCCGCGTGAATACGGTGAAGAAGCCCTTGAGGGAGTTTGAAGGTTTAGAAAGATCGCAGGTCAGAAGAGGGAGGGGAGGAAGGTGGCTGCAGGCTGGCACAAAGGCGCAGTCTGCTGCTGCTGTCTGGAGCGAGGCAGCGTGGTCGAGCCAGGACGGCGACGCTGGGAGCGGACGGGAGCAGACGCCAGTTACGCAGGAAATAGAACTTAACCCACTTCTAGTGATCAGTGTGATGTGAGAGGGGTGAGGATGGGAGATTAGTACTGGGATTTTCTGTGGACTGGGGTGGGGTGTGGAATTCCGGCAAGAGGCTGATTGTGGCGACGGCAGGTGAGCTCCTGGTAAGGTAAGCCAGTACCTAGCCGCTCCTCACCCTGGCTGCCCCGGCATCTCTATCTCTTTGACCTTGTCTTTCTTGGTTACAGAGCTCAGGAGCTAACTGCACTTTTTTCCAGTTAATCGTCGCTACCACTCACTTCGTAATGTGTATTCTTCTTCCTCAGGCTGGTGGGAGAGTGGGGTGTAGCCTCCCAGGCCCCCTTTTCCTTCCCTTCTGTTTATTTTAGCTGAGAGACACAGTGGTAGTGTCAGCTGACATCCGTGAGCTCTCAGTACGTGCTGGCGCCCCTTGCCCACTGAGCGTGGTGGTGCTCACACCGTCTTACAGATTCGAACATCGGGGCTAACAGACATGAAGCCGCCTCCTGAGTAGCACACATTACTAGGTGGAGGGACCTAGCTTCTCATCCAGAGTTGATTCCAGGGTCCTTAATCCCTTTCCTAAACTGCCTCTAACAGACAGCCTGAGCAAGGGGTCACAGTCTCAGCATTTTTGTTGGCCCTTTTGAAATGGAAAGTGAAGCCTCCTTGTCACTGAGAGTGTAGCTCGAGTAACCCTCTGTCCTAGGAGTGGGGAGACAGATTCTTTAAGATTTTTGTGTAGAAGAACTGGACTACACACCAGAGTGGGGAGTAGAACAGGCGGATCCACTGAAACCCACTGCTGAGGGGAGCAGCGGGGAGACAAGAGAGGTCTGCTGCACCCTGGGGGTCACCCCCTGGCCGGGGATCGAACTCAGGCCACAGTGGGCCATCGTGGTGGTAGTGCTGAGGCTTAACCTCTCTGGTCTCCCTAGGCCTTTGCTCAGTGCAGAGTTCATTTTCCTCCGGGTACTAGTGTATCTGGGCAGCGAGGTCTTCCTGGAGTGGTCACTCAGAAGTATTTGCTGCCTGTCGACGCCCGCCCTGTGAGCCCGGCTTGCACGCAGCTTCTCTCTAGTGGGAGGGGACCGAGGATGACTGGACACAGCAGAGGTCAGGTGTGATGACTGCTCTGTGGAGGAATGGAGGAGGCTGAAGGAATGGAGAGCGGGGGTGGGTGCAGTCTTAAGAGGTGGCTTTTGAATAGAAATCAGTGATGATGAGGCACTGGGGTGGGGTGGGGGTGGGGGGAGTGTGTTCCCAGGTGCCCAGGCCATGAGGCGGGCACGTCTGTTCCAGCAAGTGAGGAGGCCCCAGGGGCAGGAGATACAGCCCTTCACTCTTCCTGCAGAAAGTGGTTCTCAGCATGAGGCTTCAGTCAATTCTGAGATGCCCTCCCACCGCCCACCCTCTTCTGCCCCCCACATCTCAGCATCTCTGAAAT